GGTCTATCGGGGATCAACTTATCGCGTCTAGTGAAGACGCGATAAAATCGATCCCCAATGGCTCTGCCGTCGACTCCGGAAATCCACCGCGGCAAGAGGCGGTAGCGGAGTCGACGGCGGCACGGCAGTGGTCGACTTGCCGCCGTCCTCACAGCCAGGTAAGTCGACCTAAAATACGCCACTTTAGTACGCTATTCACGTAGCTGAAGTTGCGTATCTTAGGTCGACCCCCCGCTGTAGTGTAGACCTAGCCTGAGTCTTGTCCATATTGCTACACTAGTGCCTTTGTATTATATTCCTTGTCCCCTCAAAAAACAAAACAAAAACACACTGTGCTAAAAATATGTTAAGGCTGCAAAGTGAAACATTCACAAGCAAGTCAGGAACTGCCTACACAACTTTACTTCTGCTACTTTGTGTATATGCATTATACGCAGATTAGATGTTTAGCACTGGATGAAGCCGCTGATCTATACTGATTATTATCCTCACTGTTAATGAAGTAGCCTGCTTCATTCGCTGCTTACCATCCTACTTTTGCACCTGCTTTGCTTGGTCAGTTTTATGTTGTTTGTTCAGTACCCTGAAGTGCTGTGGACACTTCTCTCCATACTGACGAGTCAGTGTCTTCCTCAGGATCCGTAGGCCATGCAGAGTCTCCTCCTGGATATTATGTACAATGCAAAGGAGGTCCCATTATACTGCACATGCAGCATGTTTGGAAACAGCAGGGAGATCTGCAGCCTCTCTTGGGATTGGGTTTGAAGTGTTTAGTTCACATCTCCCGATCTGCATATGTGGACTCAAGTTTCAGAGCATTTTATACTTTTCCACCATTAAAAAGCAGATCCCTTTTGTTCTGTCTGTCTTTATGAAAAATTGTTCCTTGTCTCCTATGTCAGATAGTAACACAATTGATGTTCTGGAGTTATCTTCCTGCTCAGAAAAGTTTCTGGAGGGAATCCCATCACATTTCTCAACAAAGATGGGATTGTTTTTATTTTGTGATCATAAGCAAAACAGGATCTGGCAGTTCTTCCCCTGCAGAAATCTTTGATTCAAATATCCCTTGTCCTCACTTGATTTTCAAGTTGTTCCAAGCATCTCTTCCTAAGAAGCTTAATTTTAATAAGTGTTTTTTTGTGAGAGTCTCTTGTTCCTCCCTTAGTTTCTCTGAGACTTCTCATCCAGCTCTTCAGTGTGCTGCTCATTGCTGGTGACCCACTTATTTCATTTATTAGAAGTTCATGGAGGACTTGAGTATTCAATGCTGGTTATGATTTCTCTCTATTTTAGAGTTAACCTTCTCCCAATAGAGCCGGCTTGCTCCCTATATTGCCCAGCACTGTATGAACCATTGATACTCTTGGCTTTGTTTTAAACTAGTCCAACTTTTCTTGCTTGTTTACTGTGTCTGTTGTGTTTTCTTATCAGATTTTTAGGTTTTCTTCCAAATTACAGATAAAAGGGGTACTTGGCACCCTAAAAATTCAATGCTTTTTTTCTTTTTGAGAATGCTAAACTCAGAGCTGTTTACCTAGAGCCTGTCGTCCGTGATGCTTAGCCCCACTCTTTTTGGATTTCATGTTTTAGATTTTATAGTTCTGTTCGTGTCACATGAGGAAATGGCAATGGGAATCTGTGAAGGAACGTTCCCTGTAGTATCTTCGCTCACAGATGCTAGCTTAGTAGTGGGATGCTAGTCTAAAGAAGTGAGGTTAAGAGAGGGATAGGAAAGAGGAGGGGAGTGAGGTCATTTGGTACATGGGAGACTGTGCTGTGTAAGGGACAGCAGCCAGGGGAAAGGCATTGGATTGTGAGCAGGAGATGACAAAAGAAACAATAAGGCGAACAGTCAGCAGATCACAGAGCATTAATTCGCCTCGATTTGTGCTGCCTAACGTTTGTCCCTGCATTGAGCCTGTATGTTCTTGCTTAGTTCAATATCAAACGTATCTCACTTGGTTTGTTGATAATTTTCTTCTGATGCCACTCCTGCACCTAAGGGAAGAGATCCTCTAACAGTCTTGGTTCAGGATTTTTTCCCCTGCCGGCTGTTCTGGTATGGGTAACATCTGCTTCCGAAGGGTTAATTGTGCTTAACCTGACTTTCTATCACATTGCATCAAATACTAGGTTGTCTGGTTGGGGAGAGCTGTTTGCTTCTAAAAATGGAAGAGCTGAACCATATAAATAGAGGCCCTTTTCATGTTTTCAATTTCAAAACAGAATGACAGTTACTTAGATTTATAAAAAATTAAAGCATTCCAATTTAGAGGGTTTTAAATATTGTATGTAGGCAATTTTTCCATATACACTGCAACAATGGAGAGAGAGAGAGAGAAGAGGATTCTTCCTATTGAGGGACAAAGAAAGACTATGGGGTTTTATTAGCCATAGAGCAATGGGGATTGGGATGGATAAGAACAATTTTGCCTAAGAAATTTGGTTTCTCTTAACCAAGATGGTAAATTAGTTTAAGGGAGTGAACAGTTGCAAAAAGAGCAAGTCTATAAAATACCTTGTGGGACAACTGATAATTCATCACTTTATGTTGCGATTTATACCCAGCTCATCGGCCTGAAAAGTCATAAATCTGTCAAACCTGAGACCAGAGCAAATTTGAATTAGTTTGCTGAAGAGAGACTGATCTATTCTCTTAGTTGGGGTTTCTCTGTAAGTTTTCTCTGAATGAGGAACATGAGACACCATGCTGCTCTTCACCTGACTTCTGAGCATTGTCTGGTGCAGACAGACCTGAGCCAATACTCTTCAAAAATGACTCATTCAAAAGTTAGTCTGGTAAATATCCAAGCTGCCTTCTAAGCTAGTTGTAAGCCACATTCTCTGCCCTGATCAGAGGTGGAATGTGACACAAAATATTAGTTTTGGCACAGTAATTTTGAATACTTGGCGCTTTTTGTGGGGAGAGCAGCCCTCTTACGGGTCTATTGCTGATGAGTCCGATGGAATAGTGCTGCTGAAAGTGTGCTGCAGAAGGTTCTTGCTTTATCAGGTTGAATAAGTTAACAGCACATGCAGAAGTTAGAGGCATAATCTTCACTGTTAGTCCAGGCACTCATTCTCATTCCCTTGTGCTGTTCATATTTACAGATCTGTTTAACACTGGGCAAACCAACTGGGGCTTGAATTGAGTTTCCTATTGGAATAAAGTTGATCCTGCTGGTAATGATACAACTATCTGTATCTGTCTCTGCAGAACGGCACATTTAATGGTGTTTTCAGTAACTCTTTCGCAGGAGACAAATGAGGATTTAGGGGTTAGATACCAGCAAGAAGAGAATTGGATGTCAGGCTGTTATGAAGGGCATTTCTTTCAGCATGCAGAATCCTGCCTCTGAGCATAGTTGGATTTATTTTTGGATTGCGATAATAGAAGCAGGGATGGAATAATCAGTATTCTCTCTGTATCTAGTTTAGAACTAGGTTATTGTGTAAAGTACCTTCAGATGTCTTGGCTGTAGAAGGCACTACATAGATAAAATTTCCTTTGTATTGTATGATGATATAACATGTGAAGAGATTTACTGTATAATACAGTAATAGAGGGAAGAAGAAACCTCACTGACTGTTAAATAGTATGAGAGGATGTAAATATTCGCCTTGCTGGATTCTCCTGAGATTTTGTTGAGCATCATCGTTGGTGCCATTGTCTGAACACTGTTTCTGTCAGAAGGGAACGTTCCTAAAATGCAATGCTTATCATCACCGTCAAAAGTTTTTATGATATCTGTGAATCTCAGAAAAAGGTTAAAAAACAAACACAAAGACAAAACAAAAAATCCCCAAAGGAAGAACAGCCAAAATCTTTGTCCCCAGAGCTAGGACTTGAGCCCTTCTCTGAAACGCTTGTGAACAGCAAGAGTGCTGTGAGTAGTGTCGTGTGCGATAAGTGATCTCCCCAGTGCCTCACTTTCCTTCCAGAATGCCCATAATCTACATGCAGTGCTTCAAAATGGGGCCCAGGAGCATACTAACCAGGTGTGTAACCTGGACATGTCTCATGCCACAGAAGCACCATTGGCACAGAGTTGTTAAAGTAGGAAAGATGGTTAAACCCATGTAAAAAAAAATCTGGGCTTATGATATGTATATTTATTTGCGATGAGATACTAGGGCACCATGGTCTAATTTTACTGTCTTGTCCTTGAGATTTGATCCATTTTCTCCTATTCTCTTTGTTTGTAGGAATAAGTCTGCATTTCTTAATGCTGGATGTACTGGCCACTTGCTTCAGACTAAGGAGGACTGGCTCTGCTTTGGAATATGGTGCCTAACTTCTGTGTCCCAGTATTCATTGTGCCAGCAGTAGTTCTGTGCTGCTTGATGTCTTCAACGGAGGCAGACAGTAAGTAACATTCAGTCTGTAACTTTCTAAAACCTCAGAAACATTAAATATTTTTCTTCCATGAAATATTCACCCGCTTGGCTAAGGTATGTGCCGAGAGATAAATGGAAAAGTAACCCTAATGGTCTTTTGTTTCCAATGCGATTCAACAGTACATGCCTGGGAAGGACAAAATAAAATCTTGTCCTTTTCTGTGGCTTTGAAAAACAAACTGTCAATAAGAGTTGTGTGGTATTGGGGGAGCAATATGTCTAATGACTGTCCGTTCGAAAGCTTAGATTTGATTCTTATCAGCTATAGTGGACTAAACACAGCTTTGTACTGCGGGGAGGAGGTGCTACGGTGCACAGGGAATTTCCATTACTTTATTTTCCCCATTCTTTTATTCATTTCATTGACCCTCAAAACCTCCATGCTGCAGCTGAAGGCTACCAGTCAGATGGTTGCATGGATACTGATAAATTGGAGAGGTTTCTGAAAAGACCTATGAGAAGGACTGGAAAAAACATGCCTTATGGTGAGAGACTCAGAAGCTCAATCTAGTTAACAAAGAGAAGGTTAAGAGGTGACTTGATCACAGTTCATAAGTACCAACAGGGGGAATAGAAATTTAATAGGGGGTTCTTCGGTGTAGTAGAGAAAGGTCTAACATGATCCAATGGCTGGAATTTGAAGCTAGACAAATTCAGACTGGAAAAAAGGTGTACTTTTTTTAACAATGGGGATAATTGTACACTGGAACAATGTACCAAGGGTCGTGGTGGTTTCTCCAGCACTGACAATTTTTAAATCAAGATTGGATTTTTTTTTTTATTTAAAGATCTGCTCTAGTTCAAAAGGAATTTTTTTTGGACAGTTCTGGCTGGGATGATTTAGTTGGGGATTGGTCCTGCTTTGAGCAGGGGGCTGGACTAGATGACCTCCTGAGGTCCCTTCCAACCCTGATATTCTATGATTCTATGATTGCAGCCTGTGTTATATGAAGGGGGAGGGGAGTGAGACTAGATGATCGCAATGTTCCCTTCTGGCCTTGGAATTTTCTGAATGGGTGGGAGCTGCTGGAGATTGAGGAGGTGGCCCTGCTGTAGCAATTCTAGACTCACATGTCAGTAGAGTGAAGGTAAAATATTTCAGTATGGTGCTGCCTTGTTTTTAACCTGTATCAACCAACACTATGCTCGAAATGTTCTGCAGCCCTCATACCCACCATGCTTAGCCCAGTCCAGGAGAGAAATTAAAAAAGCAGGGCTGTCGATTAACTCAAAAAAATTAATCATGATTAAAAAAAATTAATCACGATTAATTGCAGTTTTAATCACACTGTTAAACAATAGAATTCCAATTTAAATGTATTAAATATTTGTGGATGTTTTTCTATATTTTCAAATATATGGATTTCATTTACAACACAGAATACAAAGTGTACAGTGCTGACTTTATATTATTTTTATGACAAATATTTGCACTGTAAAAATGATCAACTAAAGAAATAGTATTTTTCAGTTCACCTTATACAAGTACTGTAGTGCAATCTCTTTATTATAAAAGTGCAACTTACAAACGTAGATTTTTTTTGTTACATAACTGCACTCAAAAACAAAACAATGTAAAACTTTAGAACCTACAAGTCCACTCAGTCCTACTTCTTGTTCAGCCAGTTGCTAAGATAAACAAGTGTGTTTACATTTACGGAGATAATGCTGCTGGCTTCTTGTTTACAGTGTCACCTGAAAGTGAGAACAGGCGTTCGCATGGCACTTTTGTAGCCGGCATTGCAAGGTATCTATGTGCCAGATATGCTAAACATTCGTATGCCCCTTCATGCTGGCCACCATTTCAGAGGACATGCTTCCATGCTGATGATGTTGCAAAAAAAGCAAACATGATTCTGGGATGTATTAATAGGTGTGTTGTGAGCAAGACACGAGAAGTCATTCTTCCGCTCTACTCTGCTCTGGTTAGGCCTCAGCTGGAGTATTGTGTCCAGTTCTGGGCACCACAATTCAAGAAAGATGTGGAGAAATTGGAGAGGGTCCAGAGAAGAGCAACAAGAATGATTAAAGGTCTTGAGAACATGACTTATGAAGGAAGGCTGAAAGAATTGGGTTTGTTTAGTTTGGAAAAGAGAAGACTGAGAGGGGACATGATAGCAGTTTTCAGGTATCTAAAAGGGTGTCATAAGGAGGAGGGAGAAAACTTGTTCACCTTAGCCTCTAAGGATAGAATAAGAATCAATGGGCTTAAACTGCAGCAAGGGAGGTTTAGGTTGGACATTAGGAAAAAGTTCCTAACTGTCAGGGTGGTTAAACACTGGAATAAATTGCCTAGGGAGGTTGTGGAATCTCCATCTCTGGAGATATTTAAGAGTAGGTTAGATAAATGTCTATCAGGGATGGTCTAGACAGTATTTGGTCCTGCCATGCGGGCAGGGGACTGGACTCGATGACCTCTCGAGGTCCCTTCCAGTCCTAGAATCTATGAATCTATGAATAACGCTCGTTAAAATAATAATGCGTTAATTAAATTGTGACTGAACTCCTTAGGGGAGAATTGTATGTCTCCTGCTCTGTTTTATCCACATTCTGCCATGTATTTCATGTTATAGCAGTCTCAGATGATGAGCCAGCACATGTTGTTTGTTTTAAGAACACTTTCACTGCAGATTTGACAAAACTCAAAGAAGGTACCAATGTGAGATTTCTAAAAATAGCTACAGCACTTGACTAAAGGTTTAAGAATCTGAAGTGCCTTCCAAAATCTGAGAGGGGTGAGGTGTGGCGCTTGCTTTCAGAAGTCTTAAAAGAGCAACATTCTGATGCGGAAACTACAGAACCTGAACTACCAAAAAAAAGAGAACCTTCTGGTGGCATCTGACTATAAAAGTGAACATGCGTCGGTCTGCAATGCTTTGAATCATTATCGAGCAGAACCTGTCATGTTATGCTTATAAGAAGCACACAGGATCTTTTTCAGGGGAAAAGGCAATATGCTGCATTTATTGGAAATACAACAATTAGCATATGCATTCAATCACACACATGCTGTCCAGAAGTTGATGTTGTAGTTACCAGTCCAGAGTCTGGATCAATCTAGTGCCCAGCTAGGTTGATCACGGGTAGGGAGGAGCCAGGTTCTGTCAGTCACGATACAATGCTTCGGGGAAGTCTTGGCAGGACAAACTCAAAGTTTCATGGCAGCCTGTTTATATAGTGATTTTCCTTCATTGGGACCAATGAGTTTTGCACCATCATGCTGTAATCAATTGTCGTTTGACGTGTGCTTGTTTTCTTAAATTGTTCTACTTGTCCATTATTTTGTTCTTTAATTAGTTTTTTAGGGAGTTACCCCATGCTGGTTTTGAGTACAGCTATTTTGTCCCCATTGATGGGTCAATCTGCCCTCCTCTGACATCTCAATAGGGGCGTATTGCAATCTCCTTCTGGCGCCTTTACGTCCGTCCTCCATTCCTTCCTAGAACATCTGGTCCGGTGGTGGCTTTCACACTTATTTTCTAACATGCACATTCCTCATTCACACACAAAGCATTTGAACAGGAACATCGAATTGCAATGCAAGAAAAAACAATCGTATTTTATTTATTTTAAAATGCTAAACCTACAACAAAGTGGTGACCTTAAAAGGTCTGTCATTCCTTGAAATCACAAAATTCAGACAGAAAATTCTGGCTAATGCATCATTCCCAATGGCACACTAGACCATTCCTTTCTGCTTTCAGAAAGGGTGGCTGGCAGAATATAATCAAATCATACATCAGTACATTTAATACATGCTACACCACATTCTTTATCCTTCTTTTGAAATTATACAAAATACAAACATAAAATCCTACGACTACAGTCATAAGCATGGATGCATGTCCTCTGGAATGGTGGTTGAGGATGAAAGGACATATGAATCTTTAGTGCATGTGGCATGTAATTATCTTGCGACGCCGGCTACAACAGTGCCATGCGAATGCCTGTTCTCACTTTCAGGTGACATTGTAAACAAGAAACGGGCAGTATTATCGCCCGCAAATGTAAACAAACTTGTTTGAGCGATTGGCTGAACAAGTAGGACTGAGAGGACTTGTAGACTCTAAAGTTTTACATTGTTTTGTTTTTGAGTGCAGTTATTTTTTGTACATAATTCTACATTTGTAAGTTCAATTTTCATGATAAAGAGATTGCACTACAGTACTGGTATGAGGTGAATTGAAAAATACTATTTCTTTTGTATTTTACAGCACAAATATTTGTAATAAAAATAAATATAAAGTGAGCACTATACACTTTGTATTCTGTGTTGTAATTGAAATCAATATATTTGAAAACGTAGAAAACATCCAAAAATATTTAAATGAACGATGTTCTGTTATTGTTTAACAGTGTGATTAATCACACAATTAATTGCGCTTAATTTTTTTAATCGCTTGACAGTCCTAGAAAAAGCTATGAAAAGAGAGTTTGTGGAGAGGGGGGAGAGGAGAGGAGAAACTTGGCTAACCGGGCTGCTGAAAATGCGTTCCAGGAGTGCTCTAGTGAATGCGTTGTGCATAATGCAGAAAGCTCTGCAGGCTCGTTTTTCAGCCTTGCTTTTCATGACTCTGCTTGGGCAGCCATCTGTATTAGCTAGGCCTAGCCGCAGGTATTTGCGGGGCCATGTCTAAGGTAAGGCAGGTTCCCTCCCCCCTCATCTCCCTGTACACATGGCAGGTGCTAAGTTACCACCTTCCTGTCTGCTTCTTTTTCTGGACTGGGGTGACTTTCCCTCCCACACATTTTTGTTGTGAAACTTCAAGACTGCTGGTATTCTCCTTCACACGAAGCAGAAAGGAGAAGTCAGACCCCAGATTTCTGAGCAGGGGAGATACGGATAATTAAGGAGTTCAGTCTCTGATACAGTTGTCGGGCACCAGCGTTGGATGGGATAGCGAATGGGGAATAGGAATGGTGCTCTGGCTGGCAGCTGTATGTGTGTGCATGACATGAGTGGGATCT